GAGCACCCAAGGTATAAGTCCCGTTTGAGTTTTGAATATGGGATTACTAAGTTGCCTGTCTCCTCCCTGTGAAATTTTCGTAAGATGCTTGTAGACTGGTCACTGTTATACCAATAAGATTGCTCGTTTGCATGAGGTCCCAGTATCTATTGTTTTAGACAGAAATTTTAAAATGTGTTTGAATTTTGAATTTTGACAAGCCTTCAAGAGGCAATGAGAACTGAATTGGGATCCAACACTACTTTCCATCCATAAATTGATGTATAGTCAGAAGGAACTATTTAGACTCTGGGAGAAATGCTCCGAATGTGTACTTTAGATCTTCGAGAAGTCAGAAAAATCTGTCCATTGTTGGCAGACTCTGCTTACAACAAAAGCTTACGCTCTAGTTTCAATATGGCACCATACAAGCTTTGTATGGAAGAAAAGATAAGTCTCTGACTGGTTGAGAACTGAGTTTTGTTTGACTTTGGGGCTAAGTAAGTGGCTATCAAAAAGGATTGGAACCATTGAATGAAAAGTGTTCCGAATTGTGCCTGACTAAAGGTAAATTAAGTTTGGAGGACCAAACTTCCTAAAGAGGGGAAGACTGTAATACCCTTGTTCCGTAATATGTTAATTGGTCCTTAACATGATGTGATTATGTATTTTGATATGATTTTGTGTTCCATTATGTGAAAATATGTGGTTTTGAAGTTCTATCTGTTCATCGTAGGAATATCTGTTGAATAATCTGCCTTGGGAATTAAATTGAGGGCCCTATCGGCCATAGAATCCAAAATTGACTACGCCTTTGTGATTAGCGTAATTTTTAGAGCCTATGGTGAAATTTAATTAGAAATTGATTCTGGTCAGATTAAACTGATTCATTTAATGGCATTGTGCTCAAATTGTTTAATATTCTTAAATTGGGACTTAGTGGGATTTGTTGGATAGGAGCATTACACCCCAATTCCCTCCTTTCTTGTATTTTGACTGACCTTGGACTCAAAACCAGAGGAAGGGCCGGTTATAGAGAGATAAAGGGAGAGACTTGTGTAATTTGGGCTCAAGACTTGGGAATTTGAAGATTAAGCTCAAGATTTGGCTAGAACTTAGGTGTTTAAGGCTCCTAGGTGAGTAATTATCCCTTGAATCATGGATTCTTGTTTGCTATTTGTAAATTCAGAGTTGAACAAGGAGAAAGAGCATGAGTTGGGTTAATTTGTTGAATTGAAGCTTAATATGTACATGCATGTAAGAAATTACCTTGAAATTGCATGTTTGAGCACAAATATGTATAATCCATGTGAAATGTTAAAGGAAACTCATGTTTTGACCACCTTTTCATCAGATGAGTTGAGAATGGTGAGCATTTCCCACATGCATGTACAAATTATGGGAGAGTAAGTCTTGAATGTTTGAATTTGAGCATGTTAGTGATGAGTTTGACATATTTTGGGGCATACATGTGAATTATTTGTGAATTGAGCTTCATTGGGTTGTGATTTAAGGTTTACATCATGTTAGTATAATTATATTTGAGATTTGAGCCATAACATGCATGTTTTGTTGGTTGAAAATCGAATTGGAGCTCAAGAACACAACCTGGAATTTTCAGAATTTTGACGTCCGCTTGAGCGGGAGAAGTGCCGCTTGAGCGGAGAATTCAAGCTCCCAGCATTTTTGACAGACATGGCGCCCGCTCAAGCGGGGAAGTTTACGCTCGAACAGGAAGCTATGTAGACAGGCAGTCCGCTCGAGCGGCCGAGTTCACGCTTGAGCGGGAATTTGAGGTAACCAGCACTTTTGCAGGCTTAAGGGTCCACTCGAGCAAGGAAGTCCACACTCGAGCGGGGACCCTGTTTTCTGAAACTCTGAAAATGCATTCTGTGTTATATTTTTCCGTTCTCTTTCACTTGTAAGCACTCTTAGGCATGCATTGAGCATTGTAAATGAGTTAACGAGATAAGAATAAAGCCTAAAGAGGAATATGTGAATTAAAGAACGGATTGAACTGTTAGTGACCCCTTTTGTGTTCATGAAATGTGTAGGGTCAAGCTCCAGGGCAAATCCACAAGCCGATCACTATGAGTAATATCGATATTTGAAAGCTTAGCAATGTCCAACTGTTTATTCCCTTATAAGCTTTATGAATTGCTAATTGGGATTGTGGACAAAAGTCTGACATGAACGAATGAATGGACCGAAGGTCGTTTCAATATGAATAAATGGACCGAAGGTCGTTTTGATAGAAATAAATGGACCTAAGGTCGTTTTGACATAAATGAGTGGACCGAAGGCCGTTTTGACACGAATGTATGGACCGAAGGCCGTTTTGATGTAAACGAATGGATCGGAGGTCGTTTTGATAGAAATAAATGGACCTAAGGTCGTTTTGACATAAATGAGTGGGCCGAAGGCCGTTTTGACACGAATGTATGGGCCGAAGGCCGTTTTGACGTAAACGAATGGACCGGAGGTCGTTTTGATAGAAATAAATGGACCTAAGGTCGTTTTGACATAAATGAGTGGGCCGATGGCCGTTTTGACGTAAACGAATGGACCAGAGGTCGTTTTGATAGAAATGAATGGACCGAAGGTCGTTTTGATAGAAATGAGTGGACCGAAGGTCGTTTGGACATGTAAGAATGGACCTAAGGTCGTTTTGACATGAATGAGTGGGCCGAAGGCCGTTTTGACACGAATGTATGGGCCAAAGGCCGTTTTGATGTAAACGAATGGGCCGAAGGCCATTTTGACAAAAATGAATGGGCCGAAGGCTGTTTTCACATAAATGAATGGGCCGAAGGCCGTTTTAACATGAATGGAAGTCTGAATGGGCCAAAGGCCAGAATGTTTGGCATTTGAATTTCGTATAGTTATATATATCTGTTAAATAGAAATATGAATTGGGCCCAAGGCCGTTTGGAAGATGTTGTTCTACATTGTTATGTAACTTCTGTATTTGATTTGATATTATTCACTGGGCTTTCGCTCACGCTCATTCATGTGTTTGTAGGTGAGCCAAGAGAAGTCCAGACCCAGCCTCAGTGAAGTCTGTATGGAACAACTAAGGTTTTGAGAGAGTCAGCCCTTGTGTCTCACGCACGAGACCCGTCTTCGCCCTTTTGTTATGTATTTACATTTTGTCAGGTTGGCAAAGTTTTGAATACGTCTGTATGTAGTTTTGCTTGGCTAACTTAGATTTGAATGATCATGTCTGTACAGTACTTATGTTACTACACTTTCTGTTGTGAGTTATTAACAGATGTATGTCTGGAATGTTATGATGTGCATATAAGCACGGCTCTATGGACAAAGTTTTAAAATTGCTTCCGTTTGGCCCCTTTCACTCTGATGAGTTTTTGTCTTATTTGGTTTGAGGCCGTAGGTAATCTCGTGATTACTGGCCGGTTATGGCCTTAACCGAGAGGGGCGGGTTTGGGTCGTGACATATGGGATCCAAGAGTCTTTCAGATTTCAGGTTGTTGTAGCTGTAGAAGATATATCCTTCTGTCAGGTACTTCATTTTACTCATTTGAATGTGTTATTCTAAATATATATGCACCAAATGAAGTGGGAAATAGGGGAAAGTTTTGGGATAGTTTGGTGAAGCTTAAGGAGGAGTTCCCTGAACCCTGGTACATAGGGGAGATTTTAATGAAGTTAGGACCATTGGAGAGAGAAGGGGATGCTCTAAAAGGGATAAGGGTGTGAAGGAGCTAAATGACTTCATTGATAAAAGTGCGGTTAATGATTTACCCTTACTAAGAAGAAGGTATACCTGGTGTAATTCAAGGGAAGGGGAAAAATAGAGCAGAATTGACAGGGTGTTAGTTGATCCCAAATGGTTAGAAATGTTCAACCTCAAGTTGTGGGGGCTACCTAGATTAATTTCTGACCATTGCCCTTTACTCATGATGGAAGATAGTAGAGATTGGGGCCTTAGGCCTTTTTGGTTCTTAAATGCATGGTCATTACATCCTCATTTTCTACCTTTTGTGGAGAAGTGGTGGAAGGAGCATGAAGTAGAGGGTTGGGCTGGTTTTAAACTCTTTCGTAAAATGAAAGGATTGAAGCTTGCACTAAAATAGTGGAACGGTGAAGTGTTTGGGAATGTAAACACTAAACTGAAGAAAGCTGAGGAAGAGTTACATGAGATTGATCTTGTTGCTGAGGTAAGGGATCTTGAAGAAGTCAAAAAAGTAAGAAGAATAGAGGTTATAGAGGAGGTGTAGGGGCTCAATAGAATGGTGGAGTGGATGTGGTTGCAAAAATCAAGACTTAATTAGGATTTAAAGGGGGATAGGAATACCAGATATTTCCATGTCATGGTGAAATGTAGACAAGGGAGGAATGAGATCAACTCAATAACTATTGGTGATGGAGTTATTGAAGAACCAATCAGAGTAAAGCAGGAGGTACAAGCCTTTTTTCAAAGACATTACTCAAAGGATTGGAAGTCAAGACCTGCACTAGGAGGGACTTTCAAGTTAGTAAACAGTAGTCCATTCTTTGATGGGCTTGAGGCTGAGTTTTCAAAGGCAGAGATAAAAGCTGCTATATATGATTGTAACGAGAACAAGGCTCAAGGCCCAGATGGCTTCAATTTGGCATGCATTCAAAAGATGTGGAAAGTAATGAAGAAGGAGGTGATCAATTTCATGAGAGAGTTTCATAGAAATGGAAGGCCTGCAAGAGGGATTAATAGCTCTTTTATCACTGTAGTGCCTAAAAAGGAAAATCCAGTAGGCTTATCAAATTATAGGCCTATTAGCTTGGTGGGTTCATTGTATAAGATCTTATCCAAAGTGCTCTCCTCCAAGATGAAGGCGGTGCTACCCCACATTATCAGTGAAAACTAATCAGCATTCTTAGGAGGTAGAAATATTCTAGATGGTGTGCTGGTAGCAAATGAGGTGGTGGATGGATGAAAGAAAGCTAGAAAAAAGGGATTGATCATAAAGTTAGATTTTGAGAAGGCCTATGACTCAGTGAATTGGGAGTTCTTGCTTTCCATGTTGTCAAATTTTGGTTTTGGTGATAAGTGGGTTGAATGGATCAAGGAATGTATTACTTCAGCTAGAATTTCGGTGCTTATCAATGGTTCTCCAATTGGAGAATTTAGTCCACAAAGAGGTCTTAGACAAGGGGACCCGTTTTCTCCTTTTCTGTTCAATATAGCAACAAAGGGGCTAAGTTTATTGTTGTCTAGAGCTCTTGAATTGGAAATAATAAAAGGGGTGAAGATTGGTTCAGGTAGTGTGGGTCTAACTCACTTACAATTTGCAGATGACTCAATATTATTTTGTGAAGCTGATTTAGTTGAAGTAAGAAACTTGAAAAGGATATTGAGGTGGTTTGAAGTTCTTTCAGGATTGAAGATCAATTATCATAAAAGTGTAGTATGTGGAGTGGGTGTGCAAGATGAATTAATGAATGAATATGCCTCAGTGCTTAATTGCAAGGTGAAAAGCGTGCCATTTTAGTACCTTGGGTTACCTCTGGGGGCTAATCCGAGTAGGAAATCAACATGGAGACCTGTTTTGGATAAAGTTAGAAGCAAATTAGCAGACTGGAAAAGGAGATTGGTCTCATTTGCTGGAAGGCTTACCTTAATAAAATATGTGATGTCTTTCTTACCTTTGTATTATTTGTCCTTGTATAAGACGCCAAAAGGGGTAGCAAGAGAGTTTGAAAAAATTCAGGCAGCATTTCTCTGGGGTGGATCTGAGTTGAGAAAGAAATTACATCTAGTTCATTGGAAGGAAGTATCAAAGCCAAGGAAGTATCAAAGCCAGTGGAGCAAGGGGGTCTGGGGGTTAGGAGAGTGTTGGAGGTTAACAATTGTCTCCTATTAAAATGGTAGTGAAGGTTTGGTACTGAGTCTGATGCATTGTGGAGAAGAGTAATCTGCAGTAAGTATAAGGTTGAGGAGGGTAATTGGATGCCTAAAATCAATTCCAATAGTAGTAGCTCAAAAATTTGGAAGGACATTGTAGATGGTTGTAATCAAAACAGCAGTTTGGTGAGATTTTTCTTGGATAACTGTAAGATAAAAGTTGGTAATGGTCATAGAGTGAAGTTCTGGTGTGACAAATGGTGTGCAAATTTGTGTCTTAAGGAGGAATTCCAACTCCTTCATAGATTGGCTATTAATAAGGGAGAATCTTTAAATTCAATGATGGTAAGGAAGGTGAATGTAGGTTAGTAGGTGTTCCAGTTCAGAAGGGAGCTTTATGATTGGGAAAGGGTGGAGGTTTCTAGATTGATAACTGTGTTAGAGACAGCCCCTTCAACAAAGTCAGATGCAGAGGATGCACTAGTATGGGTTGCCTCAAAATCTGGTAGTTTTTCAGGCTCCTCTCTATACAAAAATCTGGCAGCTGGTTATGGTAATAAATGTCCAACAAGTAAGTCGGTGTGGGTGAAGTATATTCTCCCTAGAGTTCAATTCTTTGGTTGGCTTGCTTGGAAGGGTAGATTGAAGACTACAGATTTCCTTCTACGTATTGATGTTCTTACTGATAACACTTCGGCCGTATGAATTTCTACAAATTAGAGGAAGAGTCATTTAACCATGTGTTATTGCATTGCCCAGTGGCATGGAGAGTTTGGATAGAAATTTTAAAGTACTTGGAGGTGCAAGGTGTACTACTAGGCTCGGTAGAGTCACTTCTAAACTGGTGGGATGGGGTAAGACTCAACAAAACAGAAAGGTTGATATGGAAAGCTTTACCTATTACTGTGTTGTGGGCATTGTGGAAACATAGAAATGATTGTACTTTTAAGAATGTTGCTCCAAGTGAAGAAGGAGTTTGTGAACTAATAAAAGTAAAGATTGCTCTTTGGTTCAAAGATGTGTTCAAGGATCATCAGTTCTTCGCCAATGATTTCATTTTCAACCTGAGGCAGATTAGATTTTGTCTGTGTAATGGCAGTAGGCAAGTATGTTAAGGCTGAAGTTGCAAAGATGACCCTGTTTCCTTCATTCTTGGAATCATTTGCTGAATATAACAAAGTAGGGAGAAGTTTTGGTGATTGATCTGAAGACTGAGTTGAAGACATTTTGAAAAGGTGGAAAAGTGTTAACAGAAAACTTAGGAGAAGAGGGAGCATAGAAACTGCTATCAGAAGTTGTTGATTTCATTAGCATGATTGTATGGGTGGTTTCTTGAAGGTTGGTGACTTGCTGCTGTATTGTGCAGAGGTGTATTTGCGGCTGTAGGTATCTCACTGGTCTGGTTTAGTGTTGGTGAAGAGCTATGAAGCATGGACACGGCAGATTTCATGCCGTGGCAGTGTCTGACACGGGGACACGCCGGGGACACGTCGGGGACACGTACGGGACACGCCGGGTGGCGTGTCCCTTTAATTTAATTATTTTTTTGCAGGGGACACGGTGGAGACACGGCGGAGACACGCGTGTCCACCAAATCTGGACACGCGTGTCCAAATCTGGACACAGAGAGCCAAAAAGAAGAGTAAAGGAGAAGAGTAAAGGTCTTGAAACAAACCTGGACTTCGATCCAGTCCAGTCGACTTGCTGGCGACCTCCATGACTTTGATCCAGTCCAGTCACTCGCCGGCGACCTCCATCACCTTCGATCCAGTCCAGTCACTCGCCGGCGACCTCCATCACCTTCGACTTCGACGATCCAGTCGCCCTTCGACTTCGACGAGCTCTCTCTCTCACCTTCTCTCCCTCGCGATCGCGATCGCGATCGATCGCTTCTTCCTCTCTCTCTCAGTCGCGTCTTCTTTAATCTGCTGGATTCATATATGTATATAATATATAACTATTATTATAATCTGCTCTGCTGGATTCATATATATATATAATATAACTATTATTATTATATTATAATAATAACTAAAAGTAATATTATTATAATAGTATAAAGGATGCCACAGTTATTATTATATAACTATTATATTATCTATACTTATACATATTAATAAAAATAAATAAACATGTATATAAAATAAAATAAAAAAATTAATTAGAACATATTATTTAAAAAATATAATAAATAAATAAAATAATTAATATGTATTAAAATAAAAATATTTATAAAAAAATTAAAAAATCTGCCATCATGCCGTGTCCCCTGCCGTGTCCTGTGTCCCCATCTTCTTTAAAAAGTTGACGTGTCCAGTGTCCGTGTCCCGTGTCCGTCGTCCGTGTCCGTGAGAGAGGTTGTTGCTTGGCCGTAGGGTTCATGCTGTTGGTTTGCTTGGACCGGGATATGTTGATTGGAAAGTTTCTGTGCTACTTGGTGGTAAGGGGGGGGCAGGGGTGCTTGAGGTTGACAGCCAGTGAAGCTTTTCTAGTTTCTTTCGTGTAATTCTGCTCTGTTTGCTGGTTTGTCTGCTGGGCAGTTTCGCTGTCAGGGTGGAGTCGCATCTCTGCACTCATGGTTGCTTCGGGCTGCTGGATCTGTTCGCCTGCTTACAGTGTTGTTTTGGTGCCTATGTTGTTGTGGATGCCTTTTTGGTGGTGTTTTGTCATAAAAACTTAATTGTGTTTGTGTCTTGTTTGGAAATCAGTGGATGTGCTTGGGCGATTGCAGTTGGTGGAGTTTCTCAAGTCGCAGTTGGTGTACTGTCCTATTTGTTCTGTTTTGAGGCCAGGCAGCCAGTTTTGCATAGTTTCTGTTGCTGATGAAGTCCTGCATACGTTTTGATTGCTTGGTTTCCGTCCGAGGTCTGCTGCTTATGCCGGTGTTGTCCTTATGATGCCTATCTGAGTCTGCTATAGTTGTTGCTGCTTTCTATTTGGTCTTCCAAGGTCATTGATTTGGTGCTGGCTTATGTTATGCGCTTGCTGTCTGGGGTCTTTTAGTGACTTTTGCTGGTTGGTTTATTGAATGATGGAACTGGAAATGGTTATGCTTAACTCTATTTTCTGCTAGTCGGTTCAGTATATATGCAATGTTGGACAAATACGTTCTGGACTTGCGAGTCTTGGTGGTCTGCCTCGCGAGCCAGCTTGCTACTGCTAACGTTTTTTTTTGGTTTGCTCGCTCACCAAACTCGGAGCTACTATGCAAATAATATTTAGGATGGACTGCTTTACGTGCCCTGAAATCTACTTCGGATGAATTAGACTCGGATGCGTGGGAGAGTGTGTGCGAGGCGGTGCTCGGCGTGGGTGTGAGGATGTGAGTTTGTAGGTGAGTGCTGTGTGCGTTAGAGCGGAGGAGGCAGGGATCAATAAAAGTTTCTTTTTATTGCTGATTAAAAAAAAAAAAAAAAAGTGCTGGACCCTCTTCCCCTCAATATATACCCTACTATATGGTAGAAACAATGCTTGGTGAGCACTATTAGATGCTGCCATCTAATTAGGTGGCAAATGGTCCCGCTATCTACGCTGTGTTTGGTTTGGGGGATTTTGGGAAGGCGAAAGCGAAGAGAGGGAAGAATGGAATGAACAGGACAAGGAGAAAGATAATAGTGAATTCCAAATCCCAACTACTGTTTTGGTGTGTTGGGTTATAAAATATAAATTGATGTCGCTAAATGGTCTCCTATTCTTCTTGTTTATTCTCACCCACGTTCTCTTTTCGCCAATAATATTTTTTATTTATTACCTCAACACAAAGTAGGAATTACATTTCTCCATTCCTTTTCCAAAGTCCCACTCCAAACACCCCAACCAAACACACAATGCATCTAATCGATCGGTGATGTTTTCGATCTTGGAAATTCGTAATTGTTTTTTTTTTTTTTACCCTTTTTTAATCACAATTGGTGCTATTAGTGGTGATGATTTTTAGTGGACTGGAATCATTTGTTGATTATACTACTTACCTGAACCTAAATAACCCGTAAAACAAGTTGTTAGACGTCGAAATCTTACATCAAATTTTCCTAAAAACAGTAAGTATAAGAGCTTTCTTAAATGATTCATCCATACGCTAGGACGAGAGCAAAAATAATAAATAAAACAAAGTTCCTTCGGAACTCTGATAATAAAAATAATAAATAAAGTAAAAAGTCAAATATATCATGAAATTGTGTTTATTTAACTTAGTTCAGTACTATACACTATGGATTGTATACGGATCGCAAACGTTAGATAATTTTAGGACTCTCTTACCTTATATATCATACTCTTACTACTATATGCTATTTAATCATATTTTTGGACAGCACTATAAAACTTTAATTAATATCGCGGACAGAAACGGTACATAGTAGTCTACATATAACAAACGCGAGTTAACTGGCCTTGATGCAATAACTTACAATATATACAATGGGAAATCAGAATTAAAGTAAAGAACATCTTCCTATATTGCCTAACCATTATCAAAAAGCAAAGTGGGTGCCTACACAAGCGGGGATACAAGAGAGAACGGCGCAAACGTTTGCCAATTCTCCTAGTGGGAAGCAATGCCAGTGACCATATATTTTAGAGCCGTATAATCCATTTTATAATGGAATTGTCGGTAAGAGAGTCTGGGTGCCTTCACAGTCATTAGAGTGTGTAACAAATAAAAATTTGGACACATATGATACCCACCTCAGATTGTGAGTACAATTATCGAAGTTTTTTTGTGGGTCTTAAATATTGTTTCATAGCATACTTCATCATGTATCTCAATATAGTAAGAGAAGTAACATGGTGCTTCAAACGTTGGTGTAAAAGGCTGCTTTCTTTTCCTATTATTTTTTTAAAAAACAAAAATATAGTAAAAAGACGTAAGAGATATGATTTAACTTAATAAAATAAAATACAAACTTAATAAGTTGATTTTTAATCTATATACCAAACAGCAGGGCCTAACAAAAAGTCAGCACTCGTCAAAACTATAGTAATGCCATGCTGTTCCTGTAATGACCGCAAAACAAAAAAAATTCTTTAGCAGCCTTCTCTGAACGCTACGGTGAGAGTGACTGCAGTAGCTTATCTATTTGCTTGCAAGGCAAATTGGAACAATTTTTAAGAGGGAGGAATAAATATATAGAACCCACCACTTACATTTAATCGATGCTCTTAGCAGATTGTTTCAACATCTAAAGTGAATGGTTGAGTTTACGGGCACCCGAAAAGCAGGCATCTGCATGATAACACTTACTAAATTCATCGCCCCGCCCCGCCCCCCCCGCCTCTCTCTCTCTCTCTCTATCATATACTATAGTATCGTGTTACTATTGGCTTTGTAAAAGCTACTTGTCCTTCTGGAAGTCACCAGAGATCCAATATTCTGTTGGTGCGCGTGTGAGGGAGTGGTGCGAGAGGTAAAAATTTAAACCAAAGGTTTGCTTTCTCAAGTACCTTTATTGATCTAATTTTTGATTGAACAGCAAAATTCTATCAAGCCCACCTACATTTTCACGTGAGATGCCATATTGGTTTTGTCTTCTGTTCTTTTTTAAAGAGAAGCAGTAAGTTTTGAGAAGTGGGCAGTCGGATTGATGTCTAGTCGGCCTTTGAGGAATAGAGCAAAATGCGTCACGAAGCAGGACCGGCAAAATTCTCGAAGGGCACCAAGTGCTAATACTCTCAAAAATTGGGTAAAAGACGAAAAGAAACATAAA